TTATTTAGTTAACCTATGCAAAGAACACATGCATACAAAAAGTGTAAGAAATGTTTCCTATCATGTTGCTTTAACACACAGTATGCACAGGTATTTCACACAAAGTCTACTAGGAAAACACTGTGTAAGAATATTTTACAGAGAAATGGCCAATTCAGATACCCATCAAAAAAGGCCACAAACTCTGATGCTCTTATGTGAGTGATCTACCGTCCAGACCCTTTGCAGAGTGTGTTTCCGGTTCTTTGTGCAACAAATATCATCAAAACCTTTCATTCCCTTGTATCTTTTTTAATGCAGGTAAAATTTATAGAGTAACATGGCAGACAGAGAGAAAGAAATGTTTCATTCCATCTGTATCAGAAACTATTTTAATCACCTAAACAGCAACAATGAACCACAGCCAGGCTTTAAAATGAAACACTTCCTGTTTGCAATCACATCACATACACATATACCCATGTGTGTGCACATACATACATGTGCATGCACACACACACACACAGTCAAACAGAAAGTTTAACACTTGGATTTTTTTTCTTCTCTCAAAAAATTAAGATGGGGGCAGGCAAGAATGAGCATCTTTTACATTCTGCATTTTCAGGGTAACTATCCAATGCGACTTGCCATGATAACTAAATTTATTATTAACTGTGTATTTCATGATGTTAGTGACAATATGTTAATGTGATTTTTCACGTCCTCCTGCAGTGAACAGATGGCTCCTTTTACTTTACTTTCCACATCAAGTGTGATTATTTCTTGGTGCCAAAAGCCACCTGCCGCTCCTCGGTCTCCAGTCTAATTTTTTATGTTGGTAAAACACAGCAGGACTTGTTATCAGTTGGATGGCATCTTAATAAAAGGAGACATGCCAACATATTGACATCATGTTCAAGGGGAAATTTCAGCCCCTTCAAACCCTTAACCCCCATTTCCCCCTACATCCACTTTCAAAAAGTAAGGGAGGAAAATCAACAAACAAACAAATAAATAAATAAAACGCAAAGATCCTACCAGTTTCAAGATGTTCGATTACAATCATTGGGCCTAGAGCCAAGAAGCTGAATCGGCCTCCCTTTGTTCCTAAACTCAAGCCCCTCACTCAGGCCTCTGATCTTTCATCCTGTGTAATGATAATTAGCTGTAACATATTCCAAAGTCAAATGTAAGCAGGAATACATTAACATTGAGATTGGTGTCAGGGCAATTTTCACCGGGAAATCACAAAGAATGCACATATACAAACGCGCGTGCACACACACACACAGCCCCAAAGATTCTAACATTTATAAAATCACTTTCAGACTTGTGACTGTTAAGCTCATTGGCTGGTCTGTCGTGAGTGCTTACCTAGAATGAATGCCAAGGCCTCTTAATGTGGGTACGTTGACTCCCACAGCCCATGCTTAACAGAGAAAACATGAGTAATAAACCACGGTAGCTTGCTTTAATCTTTCCATTCTTCATTAGAACAAAGAGGGATAGTATGTTAGGGGATTTGTGGTCCAAGAAGAGGTCTTCTAGGCAATTGGATGGCATGGCTCTCAACAGCTGGTCGAGCACATTTGGGAACAGCATGTAGAAAAATGCATCAGTGTTTTGAAGATTACCAACTGTGATGATACATTGGTTATGACACAGTCTAAAACATTCACATATCCTAGCCACAAACTTATATTAATGAATACCTTACTGTCAGGTTATGTATTGTTCAATTCAAGACTAAAAGAAGTCCCAACTCAGGGAATTATGAACTATCCCACTAATTCCTATTCTTAAGATGAAAAAAGGAATGAACGTATCAGATATCTGAACATTTTGGTTAAAAGACAAGAAATTAAACATGCAGTTGGTTTCCTGGTTTCTTTTCACTTGAAAAATTTACAAATTTCTATGAATTTTATAAAGGCAGAGGAAGATACCTACAATAAGAGAATAATTTGACAAAATTATTTATAATTAGTCTTGGGAAAAAGAACCATATCTAGATTATTCTAATACAAAATCTCCCAATTGATTTTGGAGATTCTAGGATAGAATAATCTTCTGCCTCTCAATTGTCAAAACAAAGAAATGTGTGTGAAATACACTTTTATTAACTATGTTTGGCAACCTCATCAGCTGCATTACACTTTGCCAACTACTATAGTTTGGATGTTGAATAGCCTTCAAAGTCTATGTGTCTAAGATCTGGCTCCTAGAGTGTTGTGGAGCCTACAGGAATTAGATCCTAAAGGAAGGTCCTTACATTATTGGGAACATGCCCTTAAGAAGGACTATAGTACCCTCTCACTGTACTTTTCCCTTTTGTTTCCTGGTCACAAAAGGAGCAACTTGCTATGGCAAGCACCTGCCACCATTACCATCCAGAATATACACCCACCAGAAGCCCAAAGTAATGGGTTCACCTATCACAGATAGCATCTCCAAAACTAAGCCCAAATAAGTATCTCATCTGTAAAATTTAATTTCCCACCTGCTTTGTTATGAAGAAAACTAACATTTAAACATTTATTATGAAAATGTGAAAACATACAGAAAAGTTGTTCAAAAAATTTTACACCACCACTGTGTCTACAGATAGCTTACACAATTAGCCTTTTACTAAAAGAACTTTATTAAATTTTCCCATCTATTCTTCAAACCATCAGGATATATTACAAAATCAATAATCAATAGTCAATGGAGCAAATAAAATCTATAATCCTTGTTATTCAAAAGACTGAGATCAGGAGGATTACACATAGAAGCCAGTTCTGGCAGGAAGGGCAGTGAGAATTCATCTCTAAACTTACTAGCAAACAGTAGGGACAGAGTCATGGCTCAAATGGTACAGCACAAGCACAATATGCATCTGAATAAACACCAGACCCTGAATTCAAGCCTAAGTACCACCCACACAAAATTTTTTAAAAATGAAGTGAATTGATCAATTTTCTAAACTTATCATCTAATAATTTAATGACTATAATATATTATTGGTGAAACTACCATGTAAATAGGTTCATTATAAGCAGAACTGGTGACTTCATAATTAAGTATTTGTGTTAAAATCAAATTGCTTACATGAAGTACTTTCAAGACTCAAAAACTAATGAGGGTAAGGTATTTGTTTGCATATTTTGGTGTGACAGGGTAGATGAATATGTGTAGATTAATGTTTACTACTGCCAAATACTTGAGATAAAATTGAGACAATATCAATGCAATTTCTTCCATGAAACTCAGTGGTAAGCTAGCATAAAGGAGAGAATTTTAAAAATTGAAACAAAATAAGGAAAATTTATATCTGTTTCTGATTACTTCTGTTCTCTACTACTCAAATGTTCTCTGACTTTATAATACTTCTTGAAAGGTTTGCTTAAATCTGATTTACTTAAAACAATAAACTCATGTTATAGTTAATTTTTATGTTACTGCCTTGTTCTGTTTGATTTGATTAGGACTAATTGGGCCTCCTCCATAGCTAATTCAAAAGATTAGTCTATGCCCTAATGTAGAAAGTTGCCACTGGAACCCAACAGAACCCAGTGGAAACCCTATGTTGAGGAAATGGAGCCAAATACTCAGTACCCACTGAAATAACAGAAGACTATGCAGGACAATGCACTAGAAGAAAAGAATCACAAAGGAGAGAAATTTGAGCTCTTCAGAGTGAGTATTCCAGTGTTGATCAGTGTATGCTTGTTTGTACTGGAGGATGAATAAAGATGCAATGTAAAGATTAGAGATTACAGTATTCAGTGTTGGCCTAAGACACAAAAGCCTCATTTTGTCATAGACACATGGAAAAATATATTCATACTAAGGAGGATAATTAGTCCTAGACTAATCTGAGCTAATTTCAAAAGCATCAATCTATTTTCGTATCTATTTCTATATCTTTGAGCAAAACTCAAGAAGATGCATAAGAAAATAAAGGTTCCAGTATCAAGCCAAGAAAAATTCACACAGTGTGGTATTTAATTAAAAAGTATCAGGTATGCAAAGCAGGAAAGAAACACAAAATATAAAACCAATCAAAATTTAAGCAGAACTCACATAGATGTTAACATTAAAAAGTAATTGTAACTATATCCCTTTTGTTCAAAAAGTTAAGTAGACATTTAAAAGACCCAAATTGAAATTGTAAGAATGAAAACAACATGTGAAATGAAAATTCCACCAGATAATTAACAGCAAATTAGAACAGTAGATTTGTGCACTTGAACATATAGCAATAAAAAAAACTCTGAATTTAAGTACAGAGAGAATAGATAATCATAAGGACTAATGTACTAATGAGTTTGTGAGACAACTCCAAAATATGTGATTTCACAGAGGAAAGACAGGAAAAAGAACAGAATTCTTCTGTCTGATTCTAAATTATAAACCTACAAAGCTAGGTAACTTACGAACCCATCAAGTACAGAAGACAAACAAACAAGGTCGGAACTAATTGAATGTCGTCACAGAAAAAAATTAAACATTAAAAGAAATATCAGGACAGCAAAACTTATTTTGCCACAAGAAAAGAGATGGATAGTTTTCAAGGGTCTAAGGTTTGAAGAAAAAAAAAGTCCATTAAAATTGCATGTCGGGAAACCAGGGCTTCAATATGGAGACAAAACGCTTTTCAGGTGTTCAGTTGGAAGAATGTTATTTCTGCAAGAAAGACTGAGGGACCTCTCCTAGGCAGACAGGAATAGGAGAAAGAAGACTTCGCAGAGAGAGGGATGAGCCCTGGTAGCTGTAATTACCTGGGTAAATGGCTGGCTCATTTTGACTGACACCACCTTCACACATCCTGCAGAGGCTGGGGGCGGGGCTTGCGTGCCGAGGTGGGTGAAGGGTGCGGTGCCAGTTAGGGGTAAAGGTCACCTGGTGGTCCAGCCTGGCGTTGAGCAGGTGCCTGCGCCTCCCTCCGACGCTTCCGATTGGCTGCTGCGCGCCCCGCCCCTAACGACGTCGCCATCCCATGGGAAACGGTCCCAGAGCTGAGCTGACCGATTGGTTTCATGGCAGCCCCAAAGGAAGCAGCTGTGGGGCCGTTGGTCGGGGCGGTGGTCCAGGGCACCAACTCCACTCGCTTTCTGGTTTTCAATTCAAAAACAGCAGAGCTCCTATGTCATCATCAAGTGGAATTAACACAAGAGTATCCGAAGGAAGGATGGGTGGAGCAGGACCCCAAGGAGATCCTCCAGTCTGTCTATGAGTGCATCGCAAGGACCTGCGAGAAACTCGTCGAAGTGAATATTGACATCTCCAACATAAAAGCCATCGGTGTCAGCAACCAGAGGGAGACCACCGTGGTCTGGGACAAGCTCTCGGGAGACCCTCTCTACAACGCCGTGGTGTGGCTGGATCTCCGAACCCAGTCGACGGTGGAGATCCTGAGTAAAAAGATCCCAGGAAACAATAACTTCGTCAAGTCCAAGACGGGCCTGCCCCTGAGCACTTACTTCAGCGCCGTGAAGCTTCGCTGGCTGCTAGACAACGTGACCAAGGTCCAGAAGGCAGTGGAGGAGGGCAGGGCTCTTTTTGGTACCATTGATTCGTGGCTCATCTGGAGTTTGACGGGAGGAGTCAACGGCGGCGTCCACTGCACCGATGTCACCAACGCCAGCAGGACCATGCTGTTCAACATCCATTCTCTGGAATGGGATAAGGAGCTCTGTGACTTTTTTGATATCCCCATGGAGATTCTCCCCAAAGTCTGGAGTTCTTCGGAGGTCTACGGGCAGATGAAGAGTGGCGTGTTGGAGGGCGTGCCTATCTCTGGATGTCTGGGGGACCAGTCGGCCGCGTTAGTGGGACAAATGTGCTTCCAGGAAGGGCAAGCCAAGAACACGTATGGAACCGGCTGCTTCTTACTATGCAACACAGGCCGAAAGCGTGTCTTTTCCGAGCATGGCCTTCTGACCACCGTGGCTTACAAACTGGGCAAAGACAAGCCGGTGTGTTACGCACTGGAAGGGTCTGTCGCGATAGCCGGCGCGGTGATTCGTTGGCTCAGAGACAATCTGGAAATTGTAAGCACCTCCGATGAAATTGAAACCCTCGCTAGAGAAGCAGGTACCTCTTACGGCTGCTACTTCGTCCCGGCCTTTTCCGGGTTGTACGCGCCCTACTGGGAACCCAGTGCGCGGGGAATCATCTGTGGCCTCACTCAGTTTACCAATAAGTGTCATATCGCCTTTGCTGCCCTGGAAGCGGTCTGTTTCCAAACCCGAGAGATTTTGGATGCTATGAACCGCGACTGTGGAATTCCACTCAGTCATTTGCAGGTAGACGGAGGGATGACCAACAATAAAATCCTCATGCAACTACAAGCAGATATTCTGCATATTCCAGTAATTAAGTCTGTCATGCCTGAAACAACTGCACTGGGCGCTGCCATGGCTGCAGGAGCTGCAGAAGGAGTAGGTGTTTGGAGCCTGGAACCTGAGGATTTGACTGCAGTCATGATGGAACGGTTCGAACCACAGATCCAGGCCACAGAGAGTGAAATTCGTTATTGCACATGGAAGAAAGCTGTGATGAAGTCAATGGGGTGGGTCACAGCTCAGTCTCCTGACTGTGGCGATCCCAGTATTTTCTCTAGTCTGCCCTTGGGTTTTTTCATAGTGAGCAGCATGATAATGTTAATTGGAGCAAGACACCTCTCAGGTTTATTAGACTAATTCCATCCATGGGTTCCCAAATTGTGAGGTTTTAAAAAGAATCCACCCATTCAATCTCGCAAAGTGATGATGCTGTTGCAGACTGATTTTATGAGCCACTTGCTACATGACCTATGAGAACCCAACAAGGAGACCCGTGGCTTGAAATAAAGAAAATACATAGGAAAACTGCAGAAACATCTGGTGTGGGTTTATTTTTCAACACTGGTCACTAAAGTTTCCTTTCTGCACCACTCCCTGTGAACCATAGGACATCCAGATTTTTCCATGGAATATGTGTGTGTGTATGTGTGTGTGGGGGGGGGGGGCGCACCAGTTCTAGATCTTTAACTCCGGTCCTGGGCACTGTCCCTGAGAATTTGTGCTCAAACCTAGTGCTCTACCACTTGGGCCACAGATCCATTTCTCACTTTTTGCTGGTTAATTGGAGAGTTCCACAAGCTGGCTTTAAATCTTGATCCTCATATTTCTACCTCCTGAGTAGCTAGGATTACAGGCGTGAGCCATGGTGTTGGGTGGCTCATAGAATTTTTTTTTAATCAAAGATCCTTTAATATTTATGGGCCTTGACTTAATCTATGCTAACTACACTTGATTAAGGACTTGGACTCACCAGCTAAAACAGGAACATTTTGTTGTTTTTCTTATTTTTAGTTAATTCTCCAAATGTTCTTTTATACATATTAGGGTCACCACAGCATCTTCATTGATTGTATATGGAAATACTAAATTTTCTTACATAAAAATGTATTATTCACTGACTTAGATATATATTCAAAAATATTTTCTAAATTGTTATTCAGATATTTTTATATTTTAGTCAAAGTGATATTTGAAATATTTTACAAAACCTTGCATTATACTGAAGTTTTTATTGGTCTTCTAGGAAGAGAGTCAATTTCTGCTGTTGATTCCCTCTTAAGAATTTTATTTGTAGTAATTTTCATGTCTATATCACATAGAACAACCATTTATAAATTAAAAACACATCATATCCAATAGGTCATAATAGAAATGCTCTAAATAGAATCTACAGGCATAAGCAATTTAGGTGGGATAGCTATGTACACTTGGGGGTAATATGTATGCATATTACTTCAGGACAAATATTTATTTAAAAGCAATATATTTAAATATTAAGCATATATTTCAATCTCCAAACCACAAACTTTAAAATAAAATATTAATTATATATCTTATGTTGATACAAAAATGTATTCTAATTTCAGTAGTATTTCTTATATCTCAGTTTTTTGTTTTAGCTGTGTGTGTGTGTGTGTGTGTGTGAGGAAAATCAAATGCTACGGAATACACCTGTCAATATTTCAAATCAGGAAGAAAATGACTATGCCAACAATATATAAAGCTTAAACATATGTAAAAGAAAACAATAATAGCAAAATTTGGAAAAAGATAATAGTATAAATAATATTGCTTCAAATTACATTGCAAAAAGATTAATACTGTAAATCTGAACAAAATAGAATGACAAAATTAACTCACCAGTTAAATAGGTAAGAACTATCAAAATATTCAATCCTAAAGATGGTAGAAAACAAGATAAAGGAACAAGAAATAAAAACTAGAAAAGCCTGACAGGAAACGTATTTAAACTTAACCATGTAAGGGGGCACATATGATTTACTTACTACAGTTAAAAAGTAAGATAATCAGATTAAAAGCTAGACTGAAATATGTGCTATTACATCTCTCCATCAAAAAACACTACGTTAAAAAAGGTTAATGTTCATATCCAACATAGGGGGATGGAAAGAGGGAGGGGTAAGTGGAAGATAATGAGGGAGAGAGTAACAATAATTAAAAACAAATTTACTTATTGCTGTATGTAACTGTAACCCCCTTGTTCATCATTTTTCCAAAAAAATGACAGAAAAAAGATATGCCAGGCTAAAATAATAATAAACCTTGAATATTTACAGTAGTATTAAATGATGAATTTCATCCCAAATAATATCCATGATAAGGTCACTTTGCAATGATAAAGATGTAATTCATCAAAAGGTAGTAACAGTAATACAATTTGTGCACTTAATTTTTGTACTTAAGTATTATTTAAATACTAAAGGAAAAATCTGGTAGAACTGAGAGAAAAAGTACAAAGGCCTTATCTCTAAAACTAAAGGGCTGGACACAGATTTCAAATAATAAATCATGATATCCTGGGTTCAATCTGCTATATCTAGATAGATACATAGCTAGATAGATAGACAGACAGACAGATTGATAATCATATACATACATACACAAGAGGAAGTAGAAGAGAGCAAAAGAGAGGAAAGTTGAAAAAGATTATTTGGAATTGAGTAAAAATGAAACTCACAAATTAAAATTTGGCTGTTATTGTTAAAACAGTATTAGGGAGAAATTTATAGAATAAAATACCTGTATTCAAAGAGACAAAAGCCCCTAACTCAATGGTCCCCACTTCTATGTTGAAAAGCTAAAAGGAGAATAGGAATTTACTTAAATAATTAGAAATAAGGAAATATTAGTAACAGCAATAACCAATGATATAGAAAATATAAAACAATACATTCATCAAACCAAAATTAGGATCTTATCGAGTATCAGTAGATAATCTTTTAGCTGAAGTGTTCAAAAAGAAGACAAAAATTGTCAGTGTCAAGAATGAGAACAACATAATAGGCCCAAAAGACATTAAAATAAATATAGCACTATTAGGAAAAATTTATGCCACTAAGTTTGAGAACTTAGGTAAAATGAACAAATTTATTGAATACAAAATACCAAAACACACATAGACACACAACACATAAATACACACACATACACACATTCAACCTGGAATGGCTCCTTATCTCTTAAAGAGATTATTTTTCTATTTTAAAATCTCACAAAGAAAAATCCCAAATCCACATAGCTTCAATGTTCTAAACATGTAAGACAGAAATGGCATAGTCTATAAAAAGTGACAGAAAACTAAAAGGAAGAGAGTGTTTTCAAACTCAGTGAGACTAAGTTCCTAGCACCAACTGATTCTAACCCCAGTTTAAAAACTAAAAAAAAACAAAAACAAAAAAATTCACAGTAAAAATTACTATTAAAAAACTATATCTTTTATATAAAAGTTCTAAACAAAACAATAAAATTTATCTCTCAACATTTAGAAAGAATAAGATATCATGATTGAGGAGAGAATATGAAGATGGAACAATAAATTAGTGTTAATTAGAAAATCCATCCATGTACTTCAACATATTCACAACCTAAGAAAGTAACTACAATATATAACATTTAAAAATGACCACATATAGTATTGGTAAAGATGCCGAAAATATATATGAGTGTATCTTTCATATATATCTTGTGCAAAGGTAAATGGTTGCAAATATTTTTTGAAAGGAGTTTGACAGTCGTGTAGAAAAATAAATGAGAGACATAAGGACTTATGTCTGTACAAAGAATTTTTCATGTTACATCCCCAGTCCATTACAAACTCCACTCCAAACTGGACCAATCAGTGGTTTGTTAGATTAAACTAAGACATATCAATTCAATTGAATACTATTTGATCACAAAAATTAATAAATTATTAATACTGTAACAATTTTAAAATAATTAAGCTACAACTAGCCAAAGAGTGTATATATAATGTATTATCCTGTTTAATAAAATTATAGAAAGTAAAAACAATTATACAGTGACAGAAAGTAAATCCATGGCTGCTTGGGGAAAATGGCTACAAAGAGAGAGGAGATATAATCACGAAGAACACAGAGTAAAATAGAGAGGACATATGATGAGCTCATGTGATGGTGAGCTCAAGAATGAATGCATATAGTAGTGAAAATTAGCCAATTATGATCTAGGCAGCAGTATACATTCAGTAACACAAAATAATTTCTGTAATACAGAAAATAAGATAGGGGAATAAGATTGATCTTAATGTACCACCTAGGTCTTGTTTGGTTTTGTTTTGTTTGTAGGGAATTGAACTCAGTGCCTCACACTTGCTAGGCATGTGCTCTACCACTTGAGCTACAACATCAGTTTATATGACCTGATTTTAATCTGAAAAGGAAAAGATAAATTCTATAAGTAGTTTAGATGATATACCAATCGACTACTTAGTACATGGTCAACAAAGGAACAGACATGTAAGATATTGGACTAGAACTCTGTGAATAATAAAATAAATCACGTATCATCTTCAAGGGTAACTTTTTTTTTTCTTTTAAAAAAAAAAATAAAGGCCGTAGGAGCTCTCTGGCATGGCGCCACGTCTGGACAGAGACTGAGTAACAGAGAGCTGTAGAGTAGTTTCACTCACCAGAGTAGAGAAGTGGTGTGGATGTGGATGTGAAGGCAGCAATGGTATCCATGCGCTGATTCCGCCGCAGACAGACTGGTTTGCAAAAGGCGGTCAGAACTGTGGATATTCCTCAGAGCAAAAAGGGAAGAACAAAAAAAGAAAAAAGAGGAAAAAAGCAGAGAAATCCCAGCTATCCTGACTTTAAGCCTTTATCCGAGTCACGGCACCATTTATGTTAGGTTTTTAAAAAGAGGTACCTGAGTAAGAACAGCACCAGCACGCACGTGGTACTCAGGTAAGGGGTAGGTTTATTCAGTAGACCTGCTGGGACCAGGCAAGGTTGGCATTCCACGTGGCTGGGAAAGGCCTGGGAATGAGAGAGAGCTGGGAAGAGAGGAAAGAGAGAGAAAAGAGCCAGAAAAGAGCAGAGAGAGGGGTAAGAACAGTAGCACTCACGTGATATTCAGGTAAGGGGTAGACCTGCTGGGACCAGGCAAGGTTGGCACTCCACGTGGCTGGGAAAGAGAGAGAGCAAGAAAAGAACAGAGAGAGAGCTAGAATAGAACAGAGAGAGCAAGAAAAGAGCAGCAAGAGCAAGAGTAAGAGAGGAAGTGAGAGCAGAAAAGAAGAGCAAGAGCAAGAGAGAGAGAGCAGAAAAGAAGAGCAAGAGCAAGAGTTCAAGGGTAACTTTTATAGAAAAAAATCA